CTACACAACAATTCAAATCAATCATAAATACATGAAATAATGTCCAGAAAAACTGTAAGAAAATATTTGGGGAATTTGTTTGTTTCATGTTTTTGCATTAAATTTCAAAATACATATGAAAATGTAGATTTTGGGGTAAATGCAAAGTTGTACTTTAAAGTAAAACTTTGTGATAAATATAGATGTTAATTTTAGCAATATAAAACAAAACCTGTACAAATTATTTCAAACATTTCTATGTGTATAATTTTTTAGTATCATTTGTCCTTAAAGTGCCAATCTAAAGAGTAACGTCCCTTGGATGAATCAAATTACACACACAGTATCCAAGTGATGAGCCAGAGATTTCATGAATATTAATTGAAGACAATTATCTTTGAGAATTCAGAATGTTTCTGTTTTATGAAGAAATTTAGTAACTTAATGAAAATTTAATGTAAAATATATCATCAGGAATAACAAAGGCCTGCCATTAGCTCCATCTCTTAAAGTCATACAAAAAATAATTTAGTCTGATACCAATTTGCATGAACCAAATTAGATTTTAATATTATACAATGGCTTATAGATAAAACATTATAAAATTGTATAAAAAAATCTATTAGTATGGGAATATTAAGTTTCAGAAATTCATAGCTTTATCTGCCCCCAGAGAGGGTTAAATCATAATACTTATATACGTGCATGATCTTGTCTCTATAAATATCGTGTAATAAAATAATTTTTTTTATTGTTCCTACTGTCAGTTTGGTATATCTGAATCATACTTGGCAAATTATAGTTGGAATTGATATGAAAAGAGAACAAAAAAATTGAAAGAAATTGGAAATTTGAGAGGTATTTCAGAGCAGTTATATTATGAGCATTTTAATCTTGATTTTTTTCATTCTCTACTTAAATGACACAGGAAATTGAATTTTGAACATATATTAAAAAGGACATATGCTAGACATTATTAAAGGGATTTGGTTGGTGGTAAAATTGTCATATCTGGGCAAATGAGGAGCAAGAAGAAACTTACTAGAATCCAGAATGTCTGTATAAGACTCCTGAATTGCCACTTGCTTATATTTGGTGCTGTGTTTAACCCCCCTCTGAGTTATCAGTACATCTCAGATATAATTTTCTAAATTCTGAACTAGAATTGATAGTTTGGTGTATGATGATATAAGTATAATTATGATAAATTGCCCAGTAATGATGAAAGATCCTCCTTTGACTTGGGGTATCCATATCATCTTGTCTTAATCCAGCTCATGGCACAGAGTGTCACTGAGCTGCAGACCTCTGACATGACAGACAAGATAGGATTATCAACAATACGGCAGGCCATTGTAAGCTGTGATTCTAAAGAATCAAGGCCTTGTTGAGATTAGGGAGAGCCTTGCATGTCCATTGACCATTTGTCATTTGGGTTATGAAGACGTATGACAGATGGCCGCCATTTTTTTGGTCATCTTAACACTTTAACTAGTAAACAACCAGGATCAAAGTTCTGTAGCAATGTCTGGAGTTAAACCTTTATGAGATGTATCTGTCGATCTATATCTACAGCTAATCTCCCGCTTCAATGGCTTTGCTTATTAAATTATCGATAACATGAAAAAAGGTAACATTATTTCATCAAGGTTAGAAATTTTAATTTTCTTGGGTACAATTTCTTTCTTTCCATCTTCATGGGTCATGACCCTGGTCGACTTAATGGTTTTGTTCAGAGTTTAACGGTGATTAAAATATAAAATTTCTGTGATATTCAACACAGATAGGAAATAACCAGAACAATAGGTATATTTTCTGCTCGACTAGAGTTATAAATCTTTGTACCAGAATGCACCGTCTTCCTATTAGGAGGCAAGGCATCCGTGATTAACCATTTCAAACTTTCTGCATCCTTGAATTTGAGTGATATTCTTGTGTAAAGGATATTTATAAATTTTTTGTTTGGATTCAGTTAGGGTTATGATAAACAACCTTGTATCTTTTATATTTTTTTTTCAGACGTAAATATGATCATTTATTATCATTAATCTTCGTTGCTTGTCAGACTGGTTTTTTATGTGTACAAATCATGTGCAATACAAAGCAATATGCTACATTGTACTAGGAGTTTCCTCTAAAGAAGTGTTGTGGTAATAGGAAAGAAAATACTTACTTAATTTTTAATATTCTGTAGATTAAGTCAGGAATGTTTTATTTGAGGACTTTTTTAAGTCATTGGTATTCTAAATGTCATGTGACATGGCTCCTACTGTTACCATGGAGCTGGCTGCAGATGAAGAAGAGGAATTACTTCCTGTAATAGTTAGAACACTACTGAGCTAATTTGTCAATGGTGTGTAAACTGGAAGAATTATGATAGCCAGACCCTTCCTGGGCTGTATCACAATGCCTGTTTCTTCCTGCTGGGAGATACAAATTGTAGTCTAACCCCTTGTATGCCACACACAGCATCCTCAACATAATCCACTCCTAGAGATCTGCTGCTATCAAAGAAACCCTGTCGAGGTGCGAAACTCAAGAGATTGCATTTTCAATGTGATGAAAAAGTTTGAAGATATACAGGCCTTTTGAATTCTTTGAGAAATTCCACCACTTGAATTTATAGCACTTTGTATAAATCAGATATAATCCAAAATTTAAGTTACATAAAATTAGAGTCACCCTTTTTTTTCTTCTTTGACCTCCATTTTTCTCCTCTGAACAAAAATGTGTGAACGAAAGATAAATAAATGCACATATTTATTGTTTTTAAAGTTCATGTACGTAAGAAGATCATATGCATCTAGTTTTTTCTTACTTTTTCAAATGATTAATGCTTGGGATGGTTCTTTATATTAAATTTGATTAATTCAATTAAAAAAACAGCTGAACTTCTTGTTTTGCAAAATTTGTTGAGAATGTAACACAAGAAATCTACTTATATCTCGATGATGAATAATATTGGATAAGAAACATGAAAATGATGTTATTTTTGGGTAGAAAAAGAACCAAAAATATTAACCACTGATAACAGGAGGTCACATTCCTTGCACTGTCATGACTTTGAAAGAATAGAAAAAGAAAATTACCAGCAGTTGGTGTTTCTTGGGGGTTTGCAGAGTTAAGGAGGCTGCGGACCTCCTCATTATATATTATAAGACTGACACATCATGAGAGGAGAAAATATGATCAGCGATATCACGAAAATTTTGACAGACTTATAGCTTTAGATTTCAAACTCAGCTGTGTGGTGATGTCAGTCAAATCCTTCAAAAATTTACGAGCACTGGAAGATGGCCATGTTTCTATCATTATTCATAAACGGGCTAGTTATTAGACGAGATTTACGAGAGGTGCCCTTTTTTTAAAAGTAGATGCCAGTAGATAATTTTTACATTTTAGTGTTTGAAGTTTTTCTGTGTACAAAATTTTATTTAAAAAAAAAACTTAAAAATTGTTGAAAATGAAAATCAATTCATGACAAAACAGAGGAAAAATTAAAAAAAAATTCTTGATGGAAGAAATAAAGAGAAATGATTTATCATTGGATTTACCAAAAAGAACATGCAATAAGAAGTCTGACAATGGAACATTAAATGCAGGTTCCTTATTTTTCAAAACTGTGACATGATAAGGGTCATTGTGTACAAAAAAAGCTTTGATCGGATCCAGATCACACATATTATGTATGTTATTGTCAAGTGTTTCTTCTCTCATTGGGCCGAGACTGCTGGCTTAATGATCTGTTAAAGGATGCAATTCACAGGGACTTTGATATGGAGGAACATATGTTCAAAGGCCATGATTTTTCTGCTAGCTGTTGATGATATAGGTATTGGGATTCTCAGAAGGGATTGTTTGGAAATAATCACAAGATACCATCTGCAAGTTGGAGAACTTCAGGCCATTTTGTGGGGTGTTGAGAACTTTGTATCAGATGGACACATCTATTTTATTTATAATCATTTTCATACATCAAGTTCCTGATATTTGAAATATGTGTTTCATATTTCTTCAGTAGATTAGTTCTGATTATGAAGAACCAAAGTTGTCTTTTTAAGTTGAGTAATGATTGCTTCATATGTTTTTATTATAACCAAAATATAAACATAAAAGTTTTCTTAGCCTATTTTTTTTTTTTTGAAAGCTTGGTTTTTTTGAGATTCATCATAGCTTTAATCTGACAGATTTCTTGGAAAGCTCCATTCTTCAGAAGTTTGGAATGAAAACAGAAAAATCAGTTTTAGCCATGTTAAGATGACAATGAATTTACAGTAAGATTTTATCATTAAATTCACCAGTGTTTTGTCAGCAGTTTGAAGATATAACTGTTAAAGCAAATACCAAAGACTTTTTGTAGAGATTAGCGGAATAATGAATTTTCTTTAGATATTTTCATCTCTGCTAATCACCACCAACAGATGCTAAGAAATGTCATTTCGGAAATAAAATTCACTATATGATTCATTTTGATGTCAAAATAAATTGCATCTTTCTCGAATTGAATAAACAACTGGGTCATATTTTTGGGATGCCTTGCAGATATAATTCAGGTGAAAAAATAGGGTTACAAGGGACATAACTCTCATTTGCCTGCATTGTGGCTGTCATGACATACAAAACTTATTGTTTTTTCAATAAATTACCACTAACTAGACATCTCATGGAATGTATCATACTGCACTGAAATAAAAAATAGAGGTGGAAAACAGTAAATAATTTATAATGAAAGGTGCACTTGTGAAGATTCCTCAAAATTTTCCTCTATTGCTGAAGTTGAGCACTTGATCAACAATCAAGTTTAACTTCTAATCTATTTGTAATGGTTGATGCTCGCTCAGATGATATTTTTCCTCTATGCAGTGGTTGAGTACTCGGACAAACAATTTTTTTTGAGTGTGCACTCAGACAATTTTATTTTCTGTTTGCAGTGATTGAGCCCTTGCTCAGACAATATTTTCTTCAGTTTGCAGTAGTTGAAAACTTTTTTGTAATGATATTTTCTTTTTTCTTTTTTGCAGTGGTTGAGCGCTCGCAGTATGTCAGTGATGACCCATTTTTCCGCCACAAGTGTCGTCTATGTCAGAAGGTCTTTGGCAGTGACAGTGCCCTGCAAATCCATATCCGCTCTCACACAGGTAGATATCTGTTTATATCCACTTTTTCACTTTAAAGTATCCACATTTACTGTGAGATGCACCAATATATATCCAGCATTCATATGACCTTAATGGATGCCAATACAAATACACACACAATCTACATATAGTGCACTGTGTAACTCATGCCCAGCCCCCATTATTGGTCAGTAATTTTGACCTTTTAGGTGATTTTCTGGACAAAGCATTACATGTCATAGTGTAATATCAAACTGATTAGAGAGCTGCATTATTTCCTATAATGATGATGGGGTGTTCTCACCCCTGTCCAGTACATGTGGCCTCTATTATAACAACTTTGATTATTAATAAGAAATGAGGTCTTCTCACGTCTTTGTTGGGCCAAAGGAACCCAATGCTGAACCAATAAGTAATGCTGGCAAAACTATCTCTGTAGGAAAAGTTAGAGAGAGAGAGGGAGAGAAAGGAAAAGGTGTGAAATTGAGAGTGTTTAAATAATTAAAAATATTAAGAAAGAAGTTTTTATTATAATACAATATGATTAAGTTTGTGTAAGATGGGTGGGCCAAATTCAAGATGAACTGTTTGTTATGTGCTGTTTGATACCATCATAAACATATTTCAGAATCCTCTACATTGTAATAGTGTCTGCTCATTTGCAAAACCTTTATTTAGCTGGGAGGAACTTGAAATATGCATTTAAAACTAGGGACTGGGGCTACAAATTGCCTTTTGATATTAATTAATTTTATTTTTCTGCCAATGTGCTGTAGGAAAAAACCAGCTCGTGGATGTGGAAGTATGATATTGGTTATAAACTTTGATAATAAATGAGCAATGTAACCTATAACACATAGCCTATAGGGAATTAAAAACTGTTATATCAAAGAAAAGCAAAAAGGATTGGGGATTAATGAAGAAAATGTATGCTTGTTTTATGATGAGGTTTGGGTCTTAAATTGTGCAGTTAAATTAGAACAGTCTCACTTTTTCCTGGGCTGTAAATGTGTTGCTGAGCAATTACAGGTGAAGTTATTCCGGTGTAAATCATTTGATAAAGGAGATGATATCACCCAGTTCAAAATTATTAGTTCCATAGTCGGCTATGACATCTGAATATTGAAAAATATGATTTATGTCTTCAAGCCTCTTCGAGCGCACAGGTTAACTTTCCATAAATTGATTTAGAAATGATGGGTCTGCTATTTTTATTACGAAAACGTCATGTAAATTTCACTTGTAACTAGCTGCAGAAATGATTTATTGAACATTCACCTACTTGCTTGTATTTGATTAAATATTTCATTTTTGTCATAAAATAATTCTATATAGCAACCACCGTATTTCTTGTATACATGGATAGTCCTACACAGAGAGTACAAGACTGATATAGGGAATATATCAATCAAATCTGTCAAGCTTAAGAGATAACTGAAAGCACTTCTTTTAAACAGTTTTAAGAGTGTTCGATTAACAAACAAGAATTTAAAAAAAAAAATAAAAATAGGTATGGAGCTATTTTTTCCAGGGTGTCTGCAGTTTGAATCGGTAGAAATGTAGGTCTAGAATTGCGTATGTAACCATGCCATATGTCCTTTGGCCTCTTCTCACAACTGTTTCGCACTATTCGTCTGGGAAAATATTTTATATTGTCATAATTGTATTAAATGAGTACGCGAAAACGACATGTAAAAACCGGAATGCCCAAATTGATGATTTTACAACACCATCACCAATGTTGAGTTTGACAATGTCAGTCATAAATTATCAATTTTACGTCAGAATTTCTTAACAATTGTGTGAGAATTGAGTTATAATTCACCTAATATCGCAAACACCGCATCATAATCTTGAGCAATTTACAAGTAACATGGACGCTACGAGTTCTTCATCGTCCCGTGAATCTAATTAGCAGACGACCCTTGGTGTCATCTGCCGCCAAAATTGACACGACGCAATGAACATGATGAAAAGAGGATCTGCTTTTTTTGTTGTATCGATTCTACAATTCTTGAAGAAATTTATCTTTTTTGTCCCCAACATTGTAATCTAATTCTTAAACAATTTATGGTTCTTCGATAACTAATGAAACCCTGTTACTCCTGGACAGGCAAGAAAAATCATCCAGTAATTTTGCCAGTAGAAGGTGCAATTTATATTACAGACTTTTCAGAATGCAATATCTTTTTTACTTGTAATCGAATTAAGTGATAATGTCTTCACTTTATTATGAAAGACAGTTTTTTTTTTTTCGAAATGTGTTGGTCTAGGATAGAGAATTGGCGTGTCGGATTCCTAACGGAGTTTGCCAATACAGTGTGGCAGAGTCGCCTGCGTCACAAAATTTATTCCTGCAGAAAAAAGCATAATAATATTATTTCCATTTAATTGTCTATTTTAGGCCAATACAATATATCATGCAAGTTTTCTTTGTATGTTAATTTTATTGGTTGCTGTGACTTCATTTTCGTTTCGGTTCATGGAGAAAATGAGTGATTGAGTATTGCTGGACAGTTTCATTTGAAGCCCATCTTTTAATCACGATTCGCCTTTAAATTTACAAGGGCAACGCATTACTCAATATTCTCGCTGGACTCTTTGTGAAAAGCATAGGTCACGGGGATAAGAAAGGATACTCCTTACACCTGCCGTTATGGACCTCGCACAGATGATTAAAAAAAACTGGACAGGCATTAAACCAAAAGAGACAGTGAAATAACGTTTTAATAACTTAAATCTCATTTCCTTTTCTTTATTTATCAAAACTTTGTATGCAGATAGAATATAACCATTCTAGTAATATTTCTTAAATACCAAGAGTATCTTTGATGGGTTGGGTTGAAAGAAGCGAATATTGGCATTGTATCGTTTTAAGCGAAGGAAAGGGGGTTCTGACAATTATAATTCCTTTTGATTGAATTTCCTATATGGCAATAACTCTAAAATTTACATTAGAATTATAATGTTTTCCTGTGATGTCGATAGAAGGCTATTTTCAACTTTAAAAAGCAAAGGTGCTCCATTTTGTATGAATCAGTACGTACAAGGTGAGTCTGCTGTATTAATATCCTAGAATTATGGGATCAGACACCATAATAAAATGTAGGAATTTTCTTATTAAAGAGACATATTAATTTGCTGTTTATCTTGTAACGTATAAGACATGGGATTCCTCAGCCTTTAGAGGCTTATTTCACAAAACGTTCCTTGGCAATAAAAATTTATCTATCAAGAAATTCGTGCAGCATTTTTTTTTTATCAGGAGAAGCATATATAATTTGAATAAAATTGAAGGCTTGAATTAATTTTGTAATTAATATTTTGAAAGAATCTGAACAAGTAGCTACAGATCTCTCGGAATGTATAAGCCGAGTATTTTATGAATCAACTCGCACCTGTGATTTTTATGATATCAATGGTAATTACGCTACAAAATTTGATACATCCTTCTCGACTCATAAATTCAAAAAAAGCCGTCTTCCACAAAACCTCTCGGACCGTCATTATCATAAATGTCATTTTATAAAATTGCTTTTTTACAATAGTAGAGGTCAGCTTCACCTCGGGAGAAATTTGACAAAATGATTGCCCCCTTTGTCGTTGCCGAACATAATGACCAATTTTCACTCCAACCCAAGATGAATTTAACACTGAGACGAAGTGACTAAAATATCTTCCCCTTATTATTTATGGCATCAAATAAAATCTGACAGGCTTATAAAGGATTGGATACGGCCAAAGGGATGTTGTATAATTTGTTACGGTCAGTTGAAGCTGACCAATGGTAATTACAGTGCTGTCATGTCCAGGTCTTTGAAGAGTTTTGCTGTATGATTCACAGAAGGAATTATCTCTTGGACAAGAATCGAAGAGTTATTATTTTCTCGCCAATTTACAAAGTTAAGAAACGGGTCATAAAAAGTTGAAAACTAATTAAAGTCAGCCGCAGACTTGGTCAAAAGAAACTGTTATTTCATATCGAAGTGGATGCGAGAAAAGTTGTAAAAATTCAATTACTAATATCCCAGATTGAAATGGTCATTTTAGAATCCAGTAATTCGATATCTTTTATGCTTGTGAGGTAGATAGATTTTAGCGCTTGATCAACAAGAATTACATAACCGGTGCTGGAAAATCTTTAGAAATACGTTTAATGCCAGTCATAAACTCATGCCAGAGGGTCAACGACAATATTTGTATATATTTGATTATAGTTTTTAATTCAGATGTGAGGAAATTGGATCAATGGGTAGCTATTTACTTAAAGATATTCATTTTCATACACCGTGGTCCGGTTTATAACAAACGCAAACATTTCTTTTCTGGGAGATAATTTGGATAAACACCCGCGACTTACCACGTATATTATCTACACCTCTCATAAAAGACGAAAAATTGAAACAAGAATCCATCTGTGTTTGTTCATCTTTAATTAATACATTTTAACCAACCAATCCCTGTGGAAAGATATGATGAAAACAATTAAGGGCTTTCTTTTTTAGTGGACATCTGCGTTGTCCATCACGGTCCAGCAACTGGGGGCTCTCTCCGCTTCAGTGCCTCTCTGAATTTATAACACAAAAATGTCGCCTTAACCTAAATTATCAAAATTGCATAACAGATCCCAGCTTAAGAATGGTATTAGAATTATGTGGGGGTTCGAGGATTATAAATATATCATATTAATGTTTGTCTTCCGGCTTAAGCATTTCATTCATCATATCAATTCGCCTTTCATACTTTTATCCCTAATCAGGAGTCAGTAATAGAAATGTGATAACGAGGTCTAACGTAATCAACATGATCAAACTTATTAGTCTTGTTAATTTTGAATGTTTAAAAGAAGTTAAAATAATATTAGTGTTATGAATCATTTTGTCTTATTAATAAAATAGTCTTATTTCTTTGACCTCGCCTTTGGTGACAGACTCAGTGCTGGTATTTTACAGAGTGGTTCAGTTATGTTTTATTGAGAAATAAATATTTATGCCTTTTGTCATAAGAAAGTGTTTTTTTTTTTGTTATCTTATCGAATTTGAACCCCTCCTGAATTGAGTCGAACACTGGCGCTAGTGGCATTTTTTATGACTCAAAGTAAGAAAATTATAAACACGAAATATAAATATACGAACACTTTTGATATCAGCTATAGTAAAATGAAAGATTAAATTCTTTATTAATCACTAGCAAAAAGAAGTGCCATTTTGAGCATGTACACTGTATGTGCGTTCTGGATTTTAGCAAAGCACTCTAGACACTTAAGATCACTTTTGAAAATCACTGGCTGATTTATGGCGTTGAAAACCTTGGATTAATTATCCTTCCAAAACTGTTAAATTGCAGCCACGTTTTATTTCAACCTTACATCATAACACATATGCTGTACATGTGAATGTAGATTAATCATTCCACATGTGAATAGGACAAAAAACAGCTCACTTCCTTTGTAATATGATGCTTACCAGTGGAGGGTTTATTGTTTAAAACAGGTTGAAAAATAGTAAAATGTCCAATTTGAATGTGTAAAAATTTTAGATGATGAGTTACAATATGTGTAATTTATGCATAGTTTATTCCTCAAACTCAAAATTGTTTAGACCACTTCTAAACGAACACAAATTTTTAAAAATTAAAGCTTGTAAATTTCAGTTTATGTTGACAATTCAAAATTGTTTCTTTTTTTTATTTTAGGCGAGAGGCCGTTTAAATGCAACATATGCGGAAATCGCTTTACAACGAGGGGAAATTTGAAGGTTCACTTCGAGAGACATAAAGCCAAGTATCCTCATGTTAAGATGAATCCACACCCAGTCCCAGAACATCTGGACAAAATACCATCAATGCCTCTGATTGGATCCCCCTTCCCAACAACGCCGACTCCACCTCTTCCACTTCCAGGAGGAATGTTCACATCAGCTCCACCTATGTCAATTTCTTCTATGATGTCCTCAATTTACTCCAACTCTATGTTCGGACCCAGACCAACACCGCATTTTCCACCACGACCCTCTCATAGTGGAGAGCAGAGTTCCTCGAGTGCTGCGTCTTCCTCCAGTCACTCTCAAACCAGTCCCACACCCACTGCGCAGACAGCAAGTGAAGCGCCGGTGCGCAAGTCACCCAATGTAACTGATACAGCGGTCACGACACCAGTGTCTTCTGCAGTGAAGCGCGAGGCATCCAGTCCGATTGAGACCCAGCCCAAAATGAGTCGTCAGTCTAGTCAATTCCCTCTACTTTCACCAGTCCCGTCTGTTCCACCTCCTCCTTTGACGCCCTCTGCTGGTAGTTACTCTTCACGTGATTCAATCTTGCCAACTAAACTGATTGACCATGACGAAAGTCTAGAGCAGTATATGGAAATCGATCGTTCAGAGACGTCTAAGCTACAACAACTCGTAGACAATCTAGAAAACAAAGTATCGGATCCAAACCAATGCGTTATATGCCACCGTGTTCTTAGCTGTAAAAGCGCCCTCCAGATGCATTATCGCATCCATACTGGTGAAAGACCATACAAATGTAAGATCTGTGGACGGGCCTTTACAACGAAAGGAAATTTGAAAACTCACATGGGTGTTCATCGAATGAAACCCCCAATCAGGATGATGCACCAATGCCCAGTTTGTCACAAAAGCTTTACAAACCTGCTGGTTCTGCAGCAGCATATACGAAGCCACGCAAGCTTGCCTGGAATGCCACCGATGCCAGATATGTCTCATTTTAAAGCATTTGGAAACTTTCAGAGGCCAATGGAATGGGGTCATCGACCATTTGATCTTTCCTTCAGACCCGGGCCTGAAAGAGAACTAGACCTTAGCAAAACATCCCCAACGTATCAGATGAAACGAAGCAAGGAATACGAAGATGAAATGGAGGATAGAGATGTTTCAAGGGATATGGATGATGATTACAACGACGAACAAAATCGTAGCGAGGGAGAGCTACGACAGAATGACAGTGGGCGTGTGGACGAGACAAATGAGGATGGAAGCGATGGAAATAATAAAGAAAACAATATAAAAGATCGCCCCTTACGTCCGGATTCAACAAAATCTGACAGTTCTAAAGGTTCCGCCAGATCTGCCTCTCCAAACACGGATGACGAGAGCAATTCAGGATTCCACTCCGCAAGTTTGTTTTCCCCTTCCTTAGGAATGGGACCGATACCTCCATACAACACTTCTCTTGCTGCCCTTGAAGAACGTGTACGAGCTATTGATTCTTCCATGGCAAGTCATAGATATAATCCTTTTGGTCTAAATGGATTTCCACACCCTCAAGTGGAAAAGAAAAAAATGGACGACAATGGCGATGTATCCGACTCGGAGGAAAATGGATCAGCAGACGATAGCAAACCAGGGACGCCAGCTTTGTCCGTGAACAGTGATGGTGGAAATTCTATCAACGGATTCATGATGAGCGGAGACAAGTTGACCACTACTTGTAATATATGCTACAAGACTTTTGCATGTCGTAGTGCTCTGGACATTCACTACCGTAGTCACACCAAAGAGCGCCCTTTTAAGTGCGAAGTCTGTGACAGATCCTTTACCACGAAGGGAAATATGAAGCAGCACATGCTTACGCACAAAATACGCGACCTACCTAACTCATTCAACAACAACAGCAACAGCAGCGAAAATCTGGATAATGATGAAGCATTTGAAACGCTTGAAAACTCCAACGACTCAGTAACAGAAGAGAAAAAAACGGAGGACCAGCCACACAAACAGGGGTCGCCTAAAGTCAGTGAAAGCAATAACCAGGAGCGACAGAGCAGTGCACCTTTTGTTTCTAGTAGCAGTGGAAGTAATTATACAAATAATGGAGGAAACGTCTCTAATGGTTCACAGGATAACTCGCCGTTTTTGCGAAGAACTCCACTGAAGCACCAATGCCAAGTTTGCCAGAAGGGTTTCTCAAGCGCCAGTGCCCTGCAGATTCACATCAGAACTCATACCGGAGATAAACCCTTCAAATGCACGGTATGTGGCAAAGCTTTTACAACAAAAGGGAACTTAAAAGTTCATATGGGGACTCACATGTGGAACAACAGTCCCTCTCGTCGTGGGCGCAGAATGTCGATCGAGCCTCCATTCATGATGACGCACAAAGAGAATCCCTACATGCAGGGAGGCTTTCCACCAAGAGCCCCGGATTTCTTTCCATTCCAGTTTCCACCCTTCATGAATGGAGTCCCCCCTCACAAGATGAACGAAATATCTGTCATTCAGAGTCTGGCCAGTGGCATGGGGCACATGCCACCACTACCGCTCAACGCTGATCATCTGACCTCACCACGATCCAAGGTTACAGACAGCGAAGGTAAAGCTGTGTCTTGGAGAAAAAGCGATACGAACGGAAATATAACCTCCTCGGGAGAGCTAGACTTGAGTATGAAGACAAATACATCTACATCACCAAAAAATAACAGTAAGCCCTCCCCCACCCCCGGGGATAACTGGAACTCAGCCTGGAAGACCATGTGTCACCTTTGTAACCAGAATTTTCCCTCTCCGACAGCGCTAGAATATCACCTTCAGAACTTCCATCTCAAAGGTGCCGAACCACGCCCTAAAAGCATAGTTGCTTAAATACTTAAAATATTGTGTTGTAAATTATTATGTTAGGCATTCCACTGTCAGAAGCATTTTGGTGTTGTTGAATGTAACTGTTTATCATCTGTGAAGAAAGACATGAATGCATCAGAAATCCTGTAAACATTGATAAGAAATCCAAATTATTTCACAGATAGAAAGGATGGTGCATTTACAATATATAGATATATCCAAATTATTGGCGAAGGCTGTAGTAGAGTTAGCTGCTATTGACTCATGCATTTAACTTTCAAAGTCTTGAATTTTTGCAAGTAGTCTTGCGCATGGAAAGTCTAGTCGAATCTCATCGATAATCAAACAACATATCACGTAATATAGAATTCTCTACCTCGTTTTGCTTATTGTAAACATAGGGCGGTGTATTCGAGAAAAAAGATATTCATTGTGAATGGCTTTATATGATTGTTATTCTAGGGAAGAATAAGTGCTTGTAATACCTGCTACGCATTGAAAGTAACTGAGACGCAGTCAATGAATATTACGCATTTCAATTATCCATATAAAGATTATATACATATTATGTTGAATAGCAAGTAGTTTAGTTGAGTGTTTCAAAAATCGCTTTGTATACAAACAATTAGTTTATTTGTACATATAGATACTGATTTATATACATACAATTATATACATGTATTGCTTTTTTGTTATTTTATTATGAAAGCTTACAGAATTGTTGTACATTTTATTTAACTTGTTATTTCTTTACATCAGACAATTTTATGTCTAGCTGGTTACCACATCATCAACTTTTGTGTGAGAGACACTTGTAGTTATGGTAACAAGTTTACGGTGCTGCTTAGCGTACTTTTGCCCCCTGCTGACATTATATTGCAAATAGGGATTTTCTGCGGAATTTATTTTTCACCGGTCAATAGTTATGTGCATGTTTATTTATTGAACAATATTTGTGTCTTCCGTTGTTTCACTGCTGGGGTAAAACACACAACATACCACCCCCAACATCTCCATGCAAACAATGTGCACTGGGAACAAATATAGATTGTAATGTGTAGTTTTAGTGTTTAAGAATAGATCTTTGTAATTATTATTTTTTTTAATGAAGTGATAGTTATTTGGTTTATAGAATATGTGATCAGATGAGTTAACTTTAAAAAGTAATTGTGACGCATGCGTGATGAGTGAAGGTTTCTGAACTTTTGACCTTTGTACAGTATACAAAATGTTGAAGACGCCAGACAGATGGTGATAAAATTTGTGAAATCCATAACTAATCTGTATTCTAGTTGTTCTGAAAACTGTATTTAAAAAGTGATTTTTAGGTAAGGAAATCCATGTTTGATTATTTCCCACAGGTTATTGAGTTCTAGCGTTAGATTTAGGTTCGACAGTCTACAAAAGATTGTTATTTGATAACGCTGTATTTTTTTTTCTGTGATGACATAATTTGAATAATTATAACACTGTACAGAAGTGAGGACTTGATAAATGTCGAAATTCAGTGTGGATGTTTGGAAAGACTTGGTGATCCCAGGTTACCTGTGTTCTTGATAGATTTTGCCAAATGGCAAAGAAAGCAAAATAAAAATATACATCAAAATATCATTGATTTGTGTTTTTCTGAGAGTATGCGGATATTGTGTCGTGGGACAATAAAAGCTACACACCCCTGTTATTCGAAGTAGTATTACCTAGAGATATTCAAAATATCAGGAGTCAGGTCATCTTCAGAGCCATAAAAGTACACATTTTTTACGTACGAAATTGAAATTTCATCCAAACGTCAATCAAGGCTCGGTTTCAAAAACTGGTAGAAATATACGCTATACATAAAAGGGTAAAATGAAGCATGTGTGCAAACATGCAAAATGTTTATTGAACAAGGTTAGTTTCCATTCACTGAAATGATGAGGCGAGTAAAGCATAGAGAAAATGTAGATGAGGTCACTCTGACGTCGAAGTGCAACTTGCCACATGCACACGCACAGTACACTTCAGTTATACCTCCACATGTGACGAGCCAAGACTTTGAAATTGTAGATGTTTGGCTCAACTTATGGTCGCCTTAGAACTTGAATGAATAAAATATATGACTAGTCCTTAAGACCATAAACTGAGAACAAACTTCAGTCAAAATTTAGACTTCGATCTTGATTTTTTAAAGAAATAAACAAGAGTTGATCACGTGACCAACCATGTTCTTTTCCAGTAAACTTTTTAACATTGTAATTTTGTTTATTTCTTACAATTACCTAAATTCTTTGAGGCGATCAATTAGAATATAATACAATGTCATGTATTACACTAACGGCCCATCGTATGTTGTGACGAGCTGTGACCTAAAATAAAATTCGCAAAGTAGTTCCTTCAAAATTGTTTGAAATGTTATTGTAAATCTGTAAGCAAGGGTATATTTACGTATTCAGCAAACAACAAGTATGTTTTTGTTCTGTTTTAAAATGAAATAATGCTTTTTAAAGATTTACAATAAATCTTTGGCTCCGCATGCCCTCCGTAGTTAACAATTCATATAAGTTACAAGGCTCTTATATTTAAATGTTTAGACTGATTTTAACAAAGGATTTCTGGAAATCGGTGGATTTTATGATAGTTGTAGAGATCAGTAAAGGTTAGTCTGAATAATGTTCACATCAAGGCCACGTACGATTTCCAAAATACTGAATTTTCGACGAGAATGGTCTGATGCAGTTCAATACCAGAGGTCAAAGGAATTTTGGGTAAAAAGGGTAAAACCAATTTTCGGAAATTAATAATTTACTATAAACAATCAAGGAACCAATCAGATATTGAATAGTTATACGTTTATAAAAAATATCTCTATATCGTAATCGAGACGGAAGGGATAAATAAAAAGCAAACAAAGTCCTAGAACGAAATTTCTTATTCCTCCCATATATATCCTCGGAGGTCCATTAGCCGTTACCCTAATTTGATCGTGTCTGTTTTTAAAATAAATTTGAATACTGTTTCATTTCGTAAGTCATACCATAGTTATAAATACTATATATTTCAGAAAAATTTAAGTTTAGAAAAATCAAGCCTGTATTGATTGTTTCTCGTTCAAAGTACCGGTGTTTACCCGGCGCCATTTTGAATAACAGGTCCTAGGGTCGTGACCTCAGCGGAAAGAGTATAGATCTATAAAAAGTCCAAAATTCCAATATGGATATGTGACTTCTTTGACATAATGTAAACTTAACAATGTGAACGGTAGCACAAATACAATTGAGATAGGTCGTAAGAAAAACTATTGAAGACTTTCTTTTTAAACATATGCAGTAATAGCTAATTGATGCCAAGTGAGGTAAAATTTTGTTTCAGACTATATTTATGCCCCCGCAATCGAAGATTCGGAGGCATATAGTTTTTGCCCCGTCCGTCTGTCTGCCTGCAAAAACTTTAATATTGCCCATAACTTTTGATTGGTTGGAACTATGGCTTTCATTTTTTAAGTGTGTATACCTTGTGACAAGACCTTTGTTACCATCATATTTGACCTTTTGACATTGACCTTGGAGTTTGAACCAGTTTTGCAAAATTTCACCTAACATTAACCTTGGCCATAACTTTTGAACAATTGGTGCTAGGGCTTTCATACTTTAAATATGTATTTCTGGTGACAAGACTTTCCTTTGATTCCAACAACTCTGACCCTCTGACCTTGGCCTTGGAATTTGACCTACTTTTGGAAAACTTTAACCTTGGCCTTAACTTTTGAAAGGTTGGTGCTAGGGCTTTCATACTTCACATATGTATTTCTTGTGACAAAACCTTACTTTGGATACCAACAACTTTGACCCTTTGACCTTGACCTTGGAGTTTGAGCTACTTTTGAAATACGTTAACATTGGCCATTACTTTTGAATGGTTGGTGCTAGGGCTTTCATATTTCACATGTGTATTTCTTGTGACAAGACCGTCCTTTGGATAGAAACAATTATAGCCCATTGACCTTGACCTTGGAGTTTGACCTACTTTTGGAAAACTTTAACCTTGACCATTACTTTTGAATAATTGGTGCTAGGACTTTCATACTTTACATATGTAATCCTCGTGACAAGACCTTACTTTGGATACCAACAACTCTTTGATCTTGACCTTTGAGTTTGAGCTACTTTTGAAAAAACTTTAACATTGGCCATAACGTTTGAACGGTTGATGCTAGGGCTTTCATATTTCACATGTGTATTTCTTTTGAGAAGGCTTTTCCTTGGGCATAATTATTTTTTACCATTTGACCTTGACCTTGATGTTTGACTTACTTTTGCAAAACCTTGACCTTTTCCATATCTATTCAATGGTTGCTGCTAGAGCTTTCATATTTCACAGGTACATTTCTCGAGACAAGACCTTACTTTGGGTACCAACATATTTGATTTGCATTTGAAAGTTTATCCTTCATTATAAGTTGCATCATTGTTTCACAAACACATCTTGTTTTTACCTGTTTTGACATGATTATCGTCTGCAGTTGTGAAATATGACAAAAGCAATCAAATAATATTTTTCTAACTATGCATGCCCGTATAGTGCGGCAGCGGACACAGTCTTGAGAGATACTCAAGGAAATAAAAAGGACACGATTCTAGGACCATAACAAATTTAGGGCCTCCGACGACATATGTATTTATGTATTTATATATGGGAGGGATAAGAAATTTCGAAACTACTGATTTCCCCAGTGACTGTCTCCTTTAAATCCAACTGGTGGAGATGTTTATGCATCTTAGCAGGTTTACAACTTCTTGAGTGCAATATTCTAGGAGTATCGTTCTATAATATTTATATCGTCCTATAGTAGCTTTGTGTAATGTGGTCGTCAAGAACTGCCCCAGTCCTACACAACTTTTAGGCAGCAACTTGCAACAGAACATGCAAAACCAACAATCGTTTGTATAAGTAGTGTCGTGTTTCGTTTTGTTTTCCACTTGTGACTTGGAATATCACTGCGCTCTGTGATTCGGTCAGTTGCTGACCTCTTACCCCCTAAAAAGTTTACATGGAATATAACATGTGATTGCTCTTCAAAACAATGTATATTCTTCTAAGAAAAATATTTGCAAATATAAATATTTGTATTTGAGGCCACAAGAAAGTCTGGGTAATTCAAGGTCATATTTCAAAGGTAAAGGTCATTGTTGAAATTGAACTAAATACATGCACATGTATCTTACTTACTATCTCTGTTAATGATTCTTGGGGCACGGGGTGGGGGTGGGTGAGGGTCTCGATCGCTTAGCATCATTTACTTTCTGAATTTTAAGGACAGGTGATACAAATAAACTTTTATCAAAAATCTTGAAAAAAAAAACAACATAAGTCATGTTTATATAAGTAAAATGAATGAGGTTATTTATTATTAATTGTTAATAGGTTTTAATTTTTTATTCAAAGTTTCACAATAATGGGATTTAAAGTGCCAAAAATTTGTAGATTAATAAGGATGGCTGCAGAAATGTAATTTTTGAACATCATAGAAAGTTTACGATTTCTAAATATTTTAGAAATTTATTATTTGTGTCATTTACAACCAAAATAGGTCCAAACAGGCATCCATTTTGTTGTTTGTATCATCTGTCCTTATAAAGATATCTTCGACAAGCCATATTATTCAAAGAAGTAAATAAGATGTTGCTATTTCATAGTCAGATGTTAGGTTAAAATATTCATTCCAATATTAATTCAAAATTTATAATGAATTCTGAGGAGGAAACTCGGGCTATTTGTGATGGATTAATGGTAAGGCTTGTTTTGATTTTAGTTAAAGCTGCACATGATGTATGCTGCTCCACTGCAGACAGTGAACAACCTTTCGGTACTCAATCTAAGTAATTCACGATTCGGTAATTCTGCGACGGTCGAAGTAAAATTAACTAAACTTTCTAGATACAAATTTTGAGTTATTATATCGCAAATTTATTTGGACCACCGTACCACAGAAAGAAAATCAAAGAGAAGACACAAAGTGAAAATTGGGCTTTGATTTTTGACTAGATATATCACTAGTAATCATTCACGGGACACGGAGAAACAAGGGATAATATATAATATGTAGATTTGTCATTCATCATATATGAAACAAAGATCATAGGAACACGAATCGCATCAACAGGTTCTCGATGTGTTCTGTGATAGCATTACTGTGTTTGACCCAGTGGTATAAATATCTGACTGTTATATATACGGTGTTTAGCATCCTCTGCCAGATTAAACAACTATCTAACTAATATCCATAAGATATTCTTTAATCAGTTATCATTAAATCAACAAATGATGCAAAGAAGATATTATACTTCGACTCACTTTTAGATGAACGAATTGAGTATCTAAAACACATTTTTTGACAACTAGGTGGCTTCCTTTACAGTTTCTGATGTGCACTTGGTTAGCATTCAATGTGTCTGTAAAGGTACATATAATGTATGTATATAAATTTATTTTTTAGAAAAGATTATACATGACCATCTACTCAACAAAACACTAACATTTTACTACACTTCATAAGAAAAAATCTTTCACATAAAACGAAAAGGAGTATTGCTGTACAACTATGTGGGGGCCTCCTAATTTTATATATTTAT